CCCCAAAACCCCAAAACCCCAAAACCCCGAAGTTTTACTTTCATGCTTGATAATAAGTTTATTAAATCTTTGAAATAAATACTATAAGACTTCAATAAGTGATGAATTTAATAATATTAGTAAATCGGTTCGATAATTGATACTCTGATATAAATTAGTTAAAATCTTCAAAAACTAATTCAAAATCCTTTAATTTTAATCAATACCAATAAAAGTTTCTAACTAATATAATGAAAACGCCAAAATGAAAACACTACTGAATTCACATTTCGAAATCATTATTAGCTAATTATCAAATAACGAAGGTTATCAAATAAATAAAACCTGGTACAATCCTCGAAAAAAAAATTAAAAGCCTTTCATCTGTATAATATATTTACCATCTTAATCAATTTAATGACAAATCTTTAAAGACTATTTAGATAAAATCTTCATTTATTTTCGGTCTTCCTAGCTAGTTATATCTTAGTATGTGATTGTCTTTTTAATTTTCTTTTGGATTTTTTTCCATTAGATTTCATATTTTTAATCTCATTTTTATTTAAACCAATTGAAAATCCCTTAGGATCTATATCATTTAAAGCAGTCAAATATTAATCACTTTCAATAGCATGAGATCTTGGTGAAGTAGCATTTTATTCAATTTTTTTCAATGTTTTTTATGCTACTGCTTATGACATTTATTGCTTAAACAGATTTTTTTAATTATTACTCTTCAATAAGCACCATAGTTTAGTTGCAAGTTTAGAAATAGCAATTATGTAAATGTTGACCGAAAGGAAAAGAATTGAGAGAGCTATAGGGAAATATCCTATAATTATTTTGACTTCGAAGTCTAAATTGTAATTGTCTGAGAATATTATCATACTGTACAAAATAACTTGGAAAATGATTTCATTGAAAATCTCAAGATAATTTGATTGCAAACTTAAATATGGCTTAGATATTGTAATGTATATAATCATCACCATATTTTGAATCATCAGAAATATGAGTTAGAGACCTTGATTGTCTCCAAATGTAACAAGAGTTAGTGAGTATACTAATCTTCTTGTTATGTATATTGATGTAAAGATATAATTGCCTTTTCGAATGTTTTCTATGAATGGTTGAAACCTTGATTTAAGGACCTCTTAATTGTTTTGATAAGCCAAGCTCTTATCATAGCTTTGATATATCACATTTGTCAGCAGGAAAGAGAAAATTGGCAAAAGTACGCTTAAGGCCATAAATTTTATTGACAAAATGATAGCAATTACATCTATAAATGTAGATCCTTTCTAATAAAGCATTAAGGATAAATATATGCTTGATTACATGATAGTTATTAATACTTGAACAAATAAATAGCTCTATTACAGATTCTAACATAAATCTGGTTATCGAATTGAAAAAGATTTAATTATGAATCCTTTCTAAGAACCAACTAAAATATCACCTATTTAATAAGATTATAATCGATCGAAATTTATTTACTAATGACTTACATCTTAATCTGTATTTTCACATAAATTAATACATTTACCAAAAGCATGATGATCATCAGCATCCAGTAGAAATAAAATATAAGCCCAAGATTTCTGATTAAGTTTGTTGAAGTGTAACCCATTCTTTCAAAATATGGATTATATGAGGAATCTTCTAAAATATCTGAATCATAATCAAATATAAATGAATTGATTTTCTCAACATCAAAGAATTAGAAGCTAGACACATCTAGAATAAAACTGTAGAATAAGGCTACATTTGCTGGAGTATTCACAGACATCAAAGGCAAATGCGTGATTAATTAAAAACTGTTTATCATTCCCCATAGCATCTATATACTTTGAGACCTATAAAATTTAAGCAAGATTTCCTTACATTAAAATATTGATGATAAAATTTGATCCCATGATACTTGATAACGAGATAGAAGAAGAAGTTCCAAGTTCGTTTAGAAG